TATATATATCAAAGTTTTATTTTCCTTCTTTATTATCTAAAATATTAAATGATAAATAGAATATTTAAAATTTATTTTTATATCTATATCAATGTCTATCATAACAAAAATAATTGTATTATTTATATATCACAGTGTATAACACATCAAATAATGTGTATAAGTTTAGTGTTTTCTTCGTGTATATCAAAATGTATATCATTTTTTTTGTATATCAAAATGTAAATAAACGATTATTTTTTTCTTTGTATATTTCAGTTTATAACACATAATTTCTTGTGGATATACACAAATATATTTGCTAGAAATATATTGATATACAAAATGATAATTAGAATTATTTTCTTAATCAAAAGAAAAAGAAGAAGAAAAATGAATGAAGTTCTGTCCAATGCCAATTTTAGGGATGTACATATCATGAAACCTACCAATATGTTGTTCTAAATTCATGAAATGCCAAAAAAGTTTTTTTTTTTAAAATGGCACTTTAATACTCTATTCTAGCACCGAAACCTAATGGAGAAAAGCAAACCTCCATCCAAAATTCGATGCCGCAATAGCAGCGATCAACAACCCCTCCTTTACCTTTGTTTTTTTTTGCTATCGATACTTTGGAATTTGGATGTAACATGTGGTTTAATTCCATTTTAAATACTTTCACAGACTCAACAATTCATGAAAAACAAATTAGATCTCGTTTGAATCACTCGAGGATCTCTTGCTATATTTATTTTTTCTAACATATTAATAACTATTCTTATACTCTCTCCGTTTCAAATTAGATGAGTTACTTTCTTTTTCAGTCTGTTGTAAAATAAATTAACTAATTTCTAAATTTAGAAATAATTCAACTTTAAACTCTTCATTTTATTCATTTTACCCTTAATGAGAAGCTTTTATAATCACAAAAATATCATGGTCACACAAAGCTTTTACCCCTTGAGCTTTTAAGACCACAAGTTTTAAAAGTCTTTTTTTTTTAAACTCTATACCGAGTCAAATTACCTCATCTAAATTAAAACGGGGGAGTACTATCTTGAAGATGCTTGTCGTTGCAAAAGAAGTGAAACTTTAATTCATCGAGAGATAGAAGAAGAAATATGGGAAGAGAGAGGAAGAGGGAGACGGCAAGGAGAAGTAGAGGAGGGTTATGGGGAGAGAATAAATAGAGATGTATGTTTTTCGGGAATTTGGCTATACAATGCCAATTTTTGGGGGCTGTCTTTGTCAAATGTAATTTAAGGCCAAAAAATTACCGATCCCTATTATAAGTTGTTATGTGGTGCCAATTTCTCTAATTTTTACTAACTAATTTAGCAATCAAGTCAATCCTCTATGGCATTAGCTCCAATCAAATATTGCGGTAAATAATGACAGAAGAAGCAAAAACCACAGAGATGTTATTCTGAAGGGCTGTTTTGTTACTGTAGACTCTCACCGGTTTAAGTTTCATAGAAGTAAAATCAGGCTCTTCCCATATACAGGCCTATGAAGCTGTCTTAAGACTTCACAAATAATTTACAAAACGTTTCAGAAAAAAAAAAATAGTTTTAGATTAGTGGACAGTAATCAACAATTTGCAAGAACTGCATATTCTACTTCTATGGTTCATCAAAGACAGCAACAAAAAGGAAAATGTCAACTGACCATCGTATATCTAGAATAATTATGGTCCCAAATATACAGACCAACGCCTAGTACTCCCTCTTCATCTTTTCTGCAGAGTTCGAAATATGTCCAGAAAGGGGGGGGGGGGGGGGGGACCATATCCAAGGGAATGCCGTTAGAAATGGCACAAATATTAATAGTTATCATCATGCACGAATTTTGTGGCGTCTCGTCAGCCACTGACGAATGACTTGGGATGGGACCTGTTTTCTAGCACAAAATTCAAATTTATAGAACACGATGCACCATGTTATTGCTACTCCCTTTTAGAAAAGAATATACACACAAACGGTCATTGCCTCTTCTCAACTCTCTGATGAACCTCTGGTACACATTCAAAGCCAGCAGCAGAACGAACTCCAAACAAAAGAATGATGTTGATAATAATCCTCAAATGACAGAACTCCTCTTTTTTAAGACACATCTACAGCAATACGACATTGATGAGCTGCAAACAATTAATGCAAGCATTGGGATCACAAAAAGTAATCAGGAGTCTTCCTTGTGGTGTCAGGCTCTATCTGCCGCGGAGCTGGGTCAAACTGAAGGAAATTCTGCTCCATGTTTTCACCTATTTCTAGAATTGCAGCCATGTTTCCACACCGGTAACAATAGTTTGGAGCACTAAATACTGTCACAACATTCTTATCCTGTTGAAGTTATAACAAATAGCATGTCAAATACAAAGTAAAAATAACTAAAATGCAGCAATTTCAACTTTAGTAGACACAGGTGGTACATAGGTCTTTCTTTTTAAATTTTTAGTAGTTTGGTTGGTGGGGTTCACGAACCTGACACCAATTAAAACCCTCCATGACAAGTTGATGGGCTCTAGAAATCAGATTGAGCCCATTGGTGTGGTTGAACTGAGATGCTATATCCTGTCCAAAGGTGTAACCAGCTCCTCGGGGTGATATTCCCCAACCACAACGATCATCTGGATCAGACCACAGGAGATCACACATTGGTCCTTCATGTGGAACCTGATAATCACAGTAGGACTTAACTGGTGAGGATCAGCAATGCTAATGTGCATAGAACAAAAATCATGAAATATTAGGAACAATGGAAACCACTGGGCCACAGGACCACATGCTCAAGAATCACACGACTATCTTTCTATTCAATTCTTGGTCCTTAATTTGATTTTGTAGATCTATTGAATGAACCATCAATGGATATTAATTTTTTAAAACATAAAACTTTCGACCGAAAACATAGATCATACTTAGCTATGGTTGGCATGAGATGGAGCAAGCTGAAGAGCCATTAGAATCACAAAAGAAAGCAGTGTATTATCATAGCATAAAAACTTTAAGCACACAAAATACAATACCTCTTGTATACGGTCCAATGATCGTATATTATCCAGCGTATCCAGAGAAGGCGAGAGTCCTCCATGTAAACAGAATATCTAAATCAAAAAGAAGAGTTAAGCTTGAAATTTATTCAGCACTTCTCTTGAAATGAAAAGCCAGTGAAGTAACAGCTCAAACCTGACTCTCTATTAGTGCTGTCAGTGGTAGATAATCAAAAAGATCAGTGAAGTACTTCCAAACATTGGCATTTCCGTACTTCCTCAAGCATTCATCATAAAAGCCATACCTGTCATGAAAAGACGCATCTCAATAACACGGACTCAGAATTGAACTGCAGTCATAGTCTTGCAGCCTTGGTAGACTGTATATGGACGATGAATTGCAAAAGTAATTCCTCCTAGCGAACTGCCTATAGATATATGTCTTGATAACCAACTGTTTTATGTCTCTCTTTTTTTCTTTCTTTGGATCAGTCCGTCAAATGTTATACATCTATCTGGTGGTTTAAAAAGAAGCTTTAGCCAGATAAATTTGGCAAGGTACGAACAGGAAGTGTTTAATCCTAGACCTTAAAACTAGCTCCTCAATGCCTTTCGCCACTGTTTTTCTTAGAAGGCATGAAGTCTTGCTTGGACAAACTTAGCAATCATACTCTAAGGAAGAAAATAATGAGTGGGAAGACAATGTCATTTTACAAGCTTGGATGTTGAAAAGGGTAAAATTGGATTTACTAAAAGGACAAAGTATCACATGCTACCTGCTCACTCCAAAACCACTACCCCAGCATAAAGAACAAAGAAAGAAGAAGGCAGAGAACTATCAGTTAATACATCGAAATCATGTTATCAAACTGGAAGCACAAGAAAAGGATGAATGTGGATGGAAATTTACCACAAAAGGAGAAGAATATTTTAGAGGATAAATGTTTCTTAATCTTATTAATAAGAGCAGCATTAAGATTGCGCTGTGATATGTACATCCAAAATGCAAAAATATAATCCCTTCTAATCCTGTAGGAATTAATTAAATCTTACAATGTTTCAGCCTCATGTATATAGTCCATTTTACACCAGAATATAAGCAAAAGTATACAATTAAACCTGATCCTAAAAATGGAGTCAGCTTTATATATGAAACCCTCAGATTCTTTTCTTTATAATGGGTCCGGCATTGGGATGGAGGCTGAATGTTTTTTGGAGAAAAATAGAATAAAAGAAATAACTTCTATACAAGGAGGCGGTGGTTACTTTCTGATCAGTTCATGAGATATTTTTGCTAAAAGTATCCTTGGTCTAGTTGATACCATAGGTTTAGTCCAGCTGATCAACTCAACCCATTCCAGTTCCAAGATCTGGAGATGAACCAGTATCTTTTTGAAGAGGATGGGAAAGCCATTATGTAATCCTCTATAAATACTGCTTCCTTGTCATTGACATGCTGCCTTTAAATAAGACTTTCAAAATACCACATCTCTTGTTTTCCTGCTCTCAAGTCAGACCCCCTTCTTCACCTCTAGTTATAGCTCCTCTAATTGCCGATATATTGCTGATCGAGTCCAGATCTAAGACAACCATGGTGTAGTTATCCGTTCATTCAACAAGATACTCAACCTAGGGATTCCTTAAAAGCAGAAAGGTTTTATACTTGTCCCAGAACATGTCTGTGGGAGAGAGTTTATCACTGCTTATAAATTCTAAATAGAATGAACACTCAATAGATCTCCATCCCAACTCAGGTTCTCCTCTATTTATTCTTTTTCTTTCTTCTGACTTCTGAGGAGGAGACGAAAAGTGGGAGAAGACCTACATTCAACAACAACAAAACACACACACACACACACACACGACACATATCAGTAAAACCACGCCCAAAACAAGGACATTTGACAAAACAGAAGTCAAGATTTAAAGTTCCAGATCTCATTTAAGGCACAAGCAAAAAGGAAATAATGAAGTCACTTCTATAAGACACGATAATAAGATAGTTCCGCGAACTGAACCGTTTTCAAAATAAAACTACCCTGATATCTTACACGATCGCTGAAACAATAACAAACTGAAACACATGTACCAACCTTATCAATCACCAAATGATGCAGAAAAGACTATTTCCCCCCAGTATGTCAACTTATAGAGTTAAAACTGTCAACTATCAACTAAGTGCATAACACCCCTAAAGTAAACTAAGATAATAGCTCTGATATACATGTTTTCAGCTTTCTAGATACAGTGGCATCATTGCCTATAAAAGTCCTTCTACTTATGTCCTTTTTGACCAGGTAGAGTGTGAAGCAGTTGAGCTTCAAAGTACAAAGAGATGAGGAAAGAAGATAAGAAGCTGCGTGTGTAGCCAACCATATCCTCACACACAAACTAGATCATCTAGTGCAACCGAAAAGTTAACTTTTCAATATGCCATTTTATGCACCTCAAAAATGAATACAATAATCAGGATCAAAAGAGTAAATGACTTACACTTGAGTGATTTGCCGGCTTTCATGGTTTCCCCTAAGAATCGTAATTCTATCTCTATAACGGACCTTCAGAGCAACCAAGAGTGTCACAGTCTCCACTGAGTAGTATCCACGGTCTGCATTTATTGAAACACTATTAATGATAGATGTGAATAATGCATCCATTGAAGAGCCTATTAATAATAGATGTTTATGCCAATATAATTTTCTCGCTGAAGCGTGACTGCTAATATACTAGTCCAACAGGGGAACCGATAATGCTAATATCAAGAAAACAAAAGTAAAGAATGGGAAGATGATCACATAGCTGTAGAAAAAGTAACAAGAAGAAATTAAAAATAGTAGATGCTGTTGTGGCTAATGTAGTATGCAATTGCAACCTTAAGACGACGGAACATATCTCAAATCCAAAAGCATTATAAATAAAAAAAGAAAAGAAAACCTTCAAAAGCCTTTGTCCTACAATTATGAAAGTAGAAAGGGAAATATCCCATTTTTTTATAAAACTAAAGCAACCCTGCAGTTTATGGATCCATATATTGACACATATACTTTATCAAGACATATAAAGTTAGAGTTCAGGGAACAAAGCAACTTTGGCAGTATTGTGGATTAAAATAAAGATAACTAGTACGATAAGACTGCAGAATTCTGATGCACAATTGAAATTGGTATGTTAAATTTCTTACTGAAAGAGAACAAAGTCAAGGCTTTTAATGAGTATTTCAACTAACAGAAAAAAATATGTGAAAAAGGATATCCGGAAAGACAAATCCCGCAGCTAATAGATTCTAATGGCTTATTTCTCTAACTTAGGACTCTGAGAAAAGAATATCCAACAACCGAGATGCTTACTTTCAGGAATAACCTGCACTCACTTAAAAAAGGCTTCCCAAAAAGGACAATATCTACATAGATGACAAGCAACTAAATTGTCAGGTAATGAAAGCATAACTCCTAACTCATTTCAGCCATCATCTTTATGATGGGCCAAATTTTTCTCACACCTAACGTACGGCAAGTGCCCAGAGGATGTTATAAAACTTTGACCAATTCAGACATCTTAAGCTATTGAAATTCGCGTAATGGAGAGAAAAATCTTCCATATTCACCTCCTATCAAGGCTGGTGTCTTACTTTGTCAAGTTTCCAACCACCAGCTCATTATAAATTTGCATCTCAATAATGATTCATCAGTAAAGTTCCACCATTTGTTATCAAACAACATGTGTCGAATATATATTGCCAAAACAAGGAACCGCACATGAAAGTAACTCTGCCATAAATGAAAGGCATCACAAACATTTATGTCCTGAATGATTGAGCAATGAAATGCGGAATTTGCACCCTTATATAAGGCAGAATCATTTGTCAGACTGTTCACACGTGAAACAAACTATAGATATTCAGCGTAAAAGCTACACATCACACTCTATACAATGTTGACACCTAGACCATCCTTCAAGAGATACTAACACTAGCGCTGTTTGTATTTGCACCTTCTCAATAGTCGTGATGCCAAATTGACGACCAATGTAGATATAGCATAATAGTATCTCGGATTCAAATCCGAGCGGAGGCAAAAAACACTATGTAATTTCTTCCCACATAATCCTTGGTGGGAAGAGTTAACCTACCCTACCCGATACTTATGCTGGTTGGAGGTAGCAGGTACCCGATAGAATAGTCAACATGGCAAAATCTGCCGAGACACCAACATCATAACAAAAAAAAAGGATACAGTTCAAATGTAATGAATCCTCTAAATAAATGGGTACAGAGAAGTCATATATATAGCTGAGCCTAACGAGTTTAGGATCGATATATAACCAAACCCTAACTTTTACAATTCAACACAAAATTCACAGCCCTCATAAATTCCAAAAACATAAAATCTCCGAAAATCCAAAAAAGCACAAAATCTCAAAAAACTCACCAACATAATCGCCCATGAAGAGATAATTGGTATCCGGAGCATTTCCACCAATCCGAAAAAGCTCGATGAGATCGTAGAACTGTCCATGAATATCACCGCAAACAGTGACTGGACATTTCACCGGCTGCACATTCCATTCCTCCACAAGTATAGCCCTCGCTTGATCACACAGTATCTTCACCTCCGCTTCCGCCAGCGGCTTACACTCCATCAATTGCTCGATCTGCCGATCTACATCCGCGTTCGACGGCATTTTCCTCGCCGATCTGCAAATTCCTAGCTTGATCAATTCGGCAGTCGTCAACCGAAGATCAAACGGAAAATATTAATTAAATCGAATTTACGTACCGGAGATTAAATTTAAGCTGAAAACAAATCAAAAATTACAGCCGATTTAGCATCGGGAATATGTAGAATTAGGGTTTCAATCACCCAACCAACTCCTATTTCTGATATTTGTCTCCATTCATATAAATTTCTTTTTTTTTTCTTCCTAAATTCTCTTTGAAAATGTAACAAAAGGTTTGTAATTAGAATTATTTTTTGTGTATACGATTTATTTTTATATGTTTGTCTCTATATAAAACTGTTGTATCTATGTGTCTCCGTGTGTGAGGTGAAAATGGCAAAAATGAAATTCAGAAATGGAATGTAAAATGAAATTCAAATGACGCGAAATGAAATGGAAATGCACGTCACTTTTGGGAGAAACGACATTCCTTTCCGGTGGCTCCGCCAGGTCCAAATATAAGACCTCTGGTGACACGCGTCAGCTAGTGAATCGCTTATACATTTCTTATACACATTCAATATAGAATTGTGGCCTTTGATCCACGAGCTCCCTTGTGTCTTCTTGTTATAACTTCTAATATTTTTTCTGAGTTATGAAGACCTTTATTTATAGTTGTGGGAGGGAAGAGTTATGAAAAAAATAAACTCTTTCCGACCAAAGATTGAAGAGTGACAAGGCCACATTTGATTGGTTAGAAGATGTCACTTGCACATGTGGCGTAGTTTCATTGGCCTTTAAATTTGAGTTGGCATGCCTTATCATTTTGAAACGTAGCATGATGTCATTGACTCTTCTATTTGACTTGGCGTGTCACGTCATTTGACACGTGGCACCAAACTGGGCCTCTAGGAAGATGGCATATTGAGCCTAATGAAGTTGGTTCATCATTTGTAGCCCAACTAAATTGACTAGCTCAATGAATTAATACTTATTTATTTAATCCATATATATTAGATTTATATAATTAATTCAATTATAATAGCCCATAATATTCATTTGGACCAATATATCTTGAATTTAAAATATAGTCCAAATTATTTTATGAATTTAATTTTAATAAAATTTATATACCTACAAATATTCCTACTTCAAAACGTGTGAGTAGGCAATCTCCGTTACTAGGCTTGAAGTACCACTATAATAATATAACATCCATATTTTTGTTACAAAGGATTTATGTTGCTAAGTGAACTATTAATTGGAAAATTCCTCCTTAGACGCATTGTTCTGCTTAAATGTCACATTTTCTTTTAGTGATGACTTCCCAATGGTCTCAATTGTATTTGGATATCACTGCTCCCACAAATTTCATAGGAGGTATAATCAACTTTATTGCCGCGGGCTCTCCTATTCTTGTGATTACTAGTATAATCAACTTTTGGTATTTTAAAATAAAATACCAAAATACTGATACCATATCGAAATATTATATTACACAATACATATTTTATTAATTATAACATAAGAATTAGAAATTTAAAATTTTACTTTCATTTATTCTCTAAGTTCATCAATTAACTCTAAGCAAGTAACAAGACATTTCTCTAAGTTTTCTCTCTCTAGGTTGGTATATGGTTGTTTTGGACAAAACTTTTGTCAACAAACGTTTTTCGTTTTATACTTTTGAGTACTTAATTAAGAATATTACCGTCTATGACTCTATGCACTAGTAGTATTCATACCGAATAAACCGAAGTTACCGAATCGAATAAACCGAAACCGAAAGGAGAAAAATCGAACCGTACCGAATTTAATTAGGTACGGTATTAGTATAGCATTTTACAAAATCGAATACCGAAAATACCGAACCGAAATATCTAAATACCGTACTGTACCGTACCGACCAACGAACACCTCCAATACACATCATGTAGTAATCAAATAAATTGTTTGATCCTTTTTATTTTTATTATTGAATTAGCAAGTACTTAGTACTATTGATAATTTTCTTGAGTGTTATTTATTTATCTTTTATTTTTTAATTAATTTAAAATATAAATTTTATAAAATTATATCTATCCCCCTCCTTTCGTACATTCATTTCTATTGCAATACTTATTTGATTAGTTTTCAAATTTTGTAAGTTATTAAAAATTTAAATAATGTAATATTGTTTTACTAAATTATAATTTTGAATTAATCAAAAGTATAAAGAGATAAGAATTTATATATATATATATATATATATATATATATATATATATATATCCTAATAGTATCTTTATATTTTGTATTTTTTATTTGAATTGAAAGTTTCTTTATTTTTTTATTTTGTTTTTTTATTTTAATTTTTTTAAAACTCCAACTCGAAACTACTCCCCAATTTGAATGGGTAGTTTTCTTTCCTTTTTTAATTATATATATTTTCATTTTTGATTATAGCTTAAAAAAAATATTTTTTATAAATTTTAAAATATTTATTAAACTCCAACTTGAAACTACTCCTCAATTTGAATGGGTAGTGTTTTTTTTGACCTTTTTGTATTATAGCTAATTATAAGATATCTTTATTTATAATTTAATTAGAGTAACCAATTAATTCAAAATCTAAACTTCAAAGGTTTTTTAGTTAGAAAGAGAGTAACCAAAACTACTCCCCAACTTGAATAGGTAGTTTTTTTTTTTAATATTTTCATTTTTTACCGTAGCTAATTTAATTTTTTTCTTATTTTTTGTTTTTTAATTTTAAAATAATTTTAAAACTCGAACTTGAAACTACTCCCCCGTTTGAATGCCACTTGAAAAATATTTTGTCTTAACAATGCCGCTTGACTTTTTGTATTTTTTATTTGAATTGAAAGTTATTTTATTTCTTTATTTTTATTTTTTATTTTAAAATAATTTTAAAACTCCAACTTGAAACTACTCCCCAATTTGAATGTGTATTTCTTTTATTTATTTATTTCCGTTTTTTATTATAGCTATTTTATTTTTTTTCATTTGTTTTTTTATTTTAATATATTTTTAAAACTCCAACTTGAAACTACTCCCCAATTTGAATGGGTATTTTTTTCATTTTTTATAGCTAATTATAAGATATCTATATTTATTAATCAAATAAAGTAACCAATTAATTCAAAATTTAAAATTCGTAAGATTTTTTAGTTAGAAAGGTAGTTTATTTTGTCTTAAAACTCCAACTTTAAATTACTCCCAAATTTGAATTGGCAATTTTTTTATCGTTTTTAATATCGGTTTTTATTTAAAATAATTTTAAAACACCAAATTTGTTGGAGTTTTGTCCTAAAAATCTATACTTGGCGTCTTATGGTTATACCTCCTGGCATTATATAATTATTTAATTCTCTTTTTGTATATATATAAAGACTACTATATTAGAAAGAAACTACTCCCTAATTTAAATTGGTAATTTTTTATTTCTTTATTTCTATTTTTTTATTCTAAAATAATTTTAAAAATCCAAAATGAAACCACACCCCAATTTGAGTTGGCAATTTTTTATTTCTTTATTTTCGTTTTTTATTTTAAAATAATTTTAAAACTCCAACTTGAAACTATTCCCCAACTTGAATAGGTGGTTTTCTTTTATTATTAATATTTTTATTTTTTTATTGTAGCTACTTTAATTTTTTCTCATTTTTTGTTTTTTAATTTTAAAATAACTTTAAGGCTCCCATTTGAAACTACTCCCCAATTTGAATGAGTAGTTATTTTTTTATATTTTTATTTTTTTAATATAGCTAATTATAAAATATCTATAATTATTAATTCAAATAGAGTAACCAACCAATTCAAAATTTAAAAAGGGGTTTTTAGCTAAAAAGGTAGTTTATTTTGTCTTAATAATACCACTTGGCTTTTTGTGGTTATGTCACTTGTCTTAATAATGTGATTTTGCCTCTCCTTTTATTATATATAGATTTTTATTTTTTTAATATAGCTATTTATAAGATATCTATATTTATTAATTCAAATAGAGTAACCAATCAATTCAAAATTTAAAAAAGTTTTTTAAATTAAAAAAATAGTTTATTTTATTTTAATAATGTCACTTGACTTTTTATAGTTATGGCACTTGTCTTAATAATGTGCTTTTGACTCTCCTTTTCCTTCTTTAGCTCCGACATGAGATTTATTTTACCTTCTTTTCCTTTCTTTTCTCGCACGCCTGTGTAGTCTTCTAATTGGATTAGGACACAAACTTTTAATCATTATCAAACTGTAGTAATCCAAACAATATCAAATTAGGAGAGAACCACCGTCATTACTCTTCTACAAATACTGCATGCTCTCACGTTTGTTGACCATCAATTTGCAGTGTTCGCCAGCAATCTCAAGTTTCTCGAGTGCATATTTGGAGGAAAAGACCAAAACAATACATTTTTTTTGGTTTTAGAATCAAAGTCATACATATTCTTTCATATGGAGCACTAATAGTACATTTACTTTAACAAAGTAGTGCACTTTTAATCATAATACTGAAAAAAGCCCAAAAACATACATTATCTTTGGCTTTAGACTCAAAGTCATACATATTCTTCCACATGGAGCACTAACAGTCTATTTACTTTAACAAAGTGGTACACTTTTAATCATAACACTAAACACATTTTATTTTTTAACAGAAATCTAAGATCTGACAAAATATTTGTTCCCTTTATTTTCTTGTTTACCGAAAGAAATAAAGATGACAGATTTATCTAGATAGCAAATAGTAAATATACATAGAATTTATTTACTATTTATCTATTTACTATACGTAAAATATACATTTTACTAAGAAATGTTAAACACCGTTAATTTTTATTTGCAATGATTTTTATCTAGATAACCTCAAATGGTATCTAGATTTTAGTAATAAAATTTATTTTATTCTTAGCAATGATTTTACATATATTTATTTTATGTCAACGTATAGTAAATATTATGTATATAATAAAAAATCTAGATACCATTTGAGGTTATCTAGATAAAAATCATTGCAAATAAAAATTAAAGGTGTTTAATATTTCTTAGTAAAATATATATTTTACGTATAGTAAATAGATAAATAGTAAATAAATTCTATGTATATTTACTATTTGCTATCTAGATAAATCTGTCATCTTTTTTTCTTTCGGTAAACAAGAAAATAAAGGGAACAAATATTTTGTCAGATCTTAGATTTCTGTTAAAAAATAAAATGTGTTTAGTGTTATGACTAAAAGTACACCACTTTGTTAAAGAAAATGGACTATTAGTGCTCCATGTGGAAGAATATGTATGACTTTGAGTCTAAAGCCAAAGATAATGTATGTTTTTGGGCTTTTTTCAGTGTTATGACTAAAAGTGTACCACTTTGTTAAAGTAA